TTTTGATTTTTTTTTTTTTTTTTTTTTTTTTTGGAGAATGACGGGGATCGTTATTCTTCAAGGAATCAGACGGATGGATCTGTCTCTTTGGGGGGCTTTGTTCGTTTTTGGAAACTCTTTGTATTTCTTTGTGTTCTTGTAATTGAGGTTATATGTGATTTGCTTACTGGACGGGATCATGAACTTCTCTTGATGTGGGTAAGTCGGATCTGTTTATCTTTATTTTTTTTTCTCTTCACGTTTCCTGCCCCTTTCGTCATGGCTATCGGACTTTGAGAATTAATCTCATTGGGCTTTGGTAATTTTGTTGGGTTTTTATGGGAATGGAAATAAAAAATATATAATTCCATCATAGGAAATTACGCATATTTCAGGTGCTCTTGTCGGATCGAGGTGAGAGAATGCAAACACGCCTGGGCATGGAGAGATTTACCCCATTAATGGAAAGCTAGGTGGATTATTAATTGAACACGAGAATTTGAGATTTGGGAATGACTATGAAAACGTATACCACTGGGGCATCCTGCCGAACGAGAAGAAGATAAACAGAGTATCCGGTTAAAAACATTGGAATAATTCGACCAGGTGGTACCGAAGAGACCAGGCTCGATTAGGGATTTAATTCAAGTAGAATAAATACCCTGGTCCAGATGGGGGTAGGCATTGGTGGAGTCAATTTGATTTCTCTATAATTACCAATCGTACAGTATCAATACTGACTTTATAATTCACTATAAATATTATCTTCCCACCCAATACCGTGCCAATAATTACTTTAATCAATATACCTCTTACAGGGAATCGTTCCGGCTGAAGGATCTTTATGGAGGAGGATTCAGTTTTAAGAATACCAAAATTAAAGAAAAATATAGAAAATTTTTTTTTTCGCAAATATCAAAATTCCAATCCCTAACCCCATACAATAAACGTGTGGATTTGAAAATGGCGGCTCCGTACAAGAGCCAACCCCGCTTATTATTATTTTTTGTCTCTCGATCCTCGCCTGAACTCATCAATCTTACTCCGGGCACGGAAATCTGTCATATCGCGACGTGAGGTCACCCTTATACACCTCCCTCTGGAGTGGGCCGGTATCGCCGAGGATGGGGTGACCCCGTGAACTCCACACGCTTCTCAAGAATGGCCAGGAGGCTTTATTGTAACTTTTCCCAACGACCGTGCTTGCCTTATATCTTTATACGAAAGAACAAGTTACAAATATCTATCCACCCCTCTGGCAGCGTACTACCCTTACCACCACCACCACCCTCACCTCCACCTCCACCAACATCACCACCACGACCAATGATAACGCGCACATAGGCAACCCTTAATCTTTTATCCTATTGAATCAAACTTCCAGCCAGAAATATAACTCGAGGCGCACCCCTTCGTTCCCTTGTACTTTCTTGAGGTTTACTCAAACCCAACTATTTCCACTATTTTCCTTGTTCCATTTTGCCGTTCTAGTTACTCGCTGCGATTATTACTTTTTTCTTTCTTTCTTTTCTTCACTATCGTCCTTTATTACTCTCTTGTGATAACAAGCCCATTGTCAAATTTTTCACTTGATGAATTTATAACCATACCCTAGTCATCTGCCAAGAGCTTCGATGCTTTACGCTCAAATGCTCATTTATTTATTTTTCTGAATTTTAGGTAAACCATCTTTTTTTGGTTGATTACACAATTTTACGAAATAATGATTCTGGGCGATTATACTTTTCAAATTACCTAATCATGGTAAATACTGGTTACTTTGCTTTTTTATAATAATACCATATATCGATACTATGTTTTTTTAAAATAGTTTCTATCTCACAAATATTATCGACAGTATACTTCTTAATGATTCGTACTGGATAAATATTATTGACACTTCCGTATCGGAAAATAGTCACTTATAGCCGCTCAGAGACATTGAAAGCAACTTATTACTTTTTCCGAGTTTATTACGTTTATCTAATAACGGGTAGGTATGGTATACAAAAAAACAAAAAGGTTCGGTACTCTCAAACGGCTTGATGGTAGGAGGGTGGGTGGTGGAGTGAGGTGGGGAAGTAATAATAAAGAAGAGGAAATGCCAGAGTAGTATACTAAAACGGTATCGGTATCAGAAGAGGACATATATATATCATTATGCATAGTATATATATATATATACACACACGCATATGAGTACGCAACATAACCCACGTACGAGTACGTATAGTGAAACGAAATGAAACGAAATGGCTACGGCGGCTTAAGCTACCAATCAGAGACACGCGAGGACCCTAGTCAAGGCTTCCTCGCCGTTAATCTCGATGGGGCCTGAGGCCCAATTGCCGGCCCCGTACAGTCCCCGGTATCTCGCATGCCAGAATTCGAATCCGAACGCACGAGTCCATAGCGATAATCGCAATTTGCCCTTTGGCTAGTGGCTTCCATTTCACGGCTGCAATTTTTGCTTTAATACAGTGGCGGCCTTGCATTTATTTAACTTCGATTCTATTTCTTTGTTCACGAGCACTTCTGACGGGCATCCAAATTTCGGATCGATTACCGTCAGAAATATTTCTTGATACTGATAAATCAAATTGACGTTATTCCATTGTTATCAAATTTTTTTTTTAAGCTTCGGTACCACCGTGTCTATTGAGATACCCTGATACGAAAAAGATGATAATTTTTTCAGGGATCTATTAATCTTCAATTTTTTGACGTCTGTCATCTTAAATTTGACAGCTGTCATTTTTTTACATTTTATTCTGTTGCTGAATCTTATTTTTCTTTTTTTTTCCCCATTTTATTATATTCATTTTTCAAGTATGTCCTTGTCATAACGATACTCGGCTGTAACGATACACGTATTATTTTAGATAACACCGAATCACAGTTTTAGGGTAAAATCTCGTTTTGGGGCAATTATTAAAATTGACAGCAGATACACTCGACTCGACGATGGCGTGAAGAAGGCAGTTCCAAATGATTTTGGTAAATTGCCGTGTATAAGCTAGTCGTCGGACACGCCTTGGCGTACAGCTGAATGACGCGGAGCTTCATAATGCGGATCAGCCCGAAGCTACGACATTTGCCGTCTGGCCAATTGTCAGTGAAAGAAGTCTGGACGACTCACCCACTTTTCAAGCTTTACGCACGCGATCATTCATTACGTCCGACACGAATATTCACGAGTTGTATCCGCCAGTCGTGAACCAGCTGCTCAAACATTCGACGCGTACACGTGGTATACGACGATTTCGATGTTGTCCAACGAAAGGCGCGGAGCTCGAACAAAAATCGTAGCTGGTTATTGGAATTACGTAATATAGTGTAATTCCTTGGATCAATAGCGAACGTTATAAATTTTCTTGTAGTATATCTATAACGATCAGAGTGACGTATTGACTTCCTGAAACTGTACCGACAGTCGGACCACCTACCACTACGAGTGGCAGTTCTTCATTGTTGATCGATCGAACTGGAGGCTAGTAAGGTTTGCTCAATGAAAAATGGTCCTGGGCTGAGAAAGGGAAAAAGAGACTAGCGAGCCTACGTACTTGTATATATTTATTAATTTTATTATGGTTAGTGGCATGTATATATATGTATATATTATCTGGAAGAAATATATGTAATATAATATTGTATTATAGGTTGAGATCAATTACGTTTGTAACTATAGTATTGGAGTGCGGTAGGTGCGTATATATATAGGCGCTACTAAAGACGTACTATTAAAAGAAGCAAAGTAAAGGAAGCGTCTACCCATGCATCGCGTGGCCAAACGAGAGGACAGCCTACGGCCAAGAGATCACGATGCGTAATGGCTCGATTTATATTCAGAGTTGCGGCTAATAGCCGAAGAAATTAGCAGGTGGGTGCAGAGAGACCTGGCTGATTCCTTACACGTTGGCCCTGTAGCATAGCTCAAACCTGATTGGTCAGTTTCTATCCAGCTTCCTTGGCGATACTTTGAAATGTGTTACTATATGCCTGTGGGAACGAACCCTTTACTTTACTTTCTTTTTTTTTTTTTTCGTTTTTCCTCTTTGGAGGAACGAATCCTGGAATTCGCAAATTGATACCAGCCGCTCTTTGGTGTTTAGAACCTTTTAAAGCGAGAAGATTTTGTCTGAAGGAGGATATACTTTTTTTTTATTTAAGTGATTAGGTTAGGGGCAACGTATCTGTAGTGGTAGGCCTGGTTTTAGGGTATATGAGAAACCGACTGAATGGTCTATATACAGTGGACAGATATGATGGAACCCTTTAAGACGGTGATTTTGGAATTTCATAATAAGCAGGGATATTCTTGAAATTGGTGGATCTTTTTGGGGCTTTTTCAAAACTGACCAATAATTTTTATAAACGTTTTGGATATGCAAAGTCAATGAGGGTGATCGGTACTTAATGGGTAGTTCGAGCTGGAGATGATTTTGGCCCTATCGGTCTGCAATTTTACCTGGATTTATAAAAAAACAAATTAGTTTATTATAATTTTTTTATCGTTATCGTCGTTTTGGTAACGCGTTATATTGATATCAATTTTTATGAATGTGTTTAAGATTTTGGTATTTTGAAAAATTTATCAAATTTTTTTTTTTTTTCCTAAATCGTTATAACGAGTCTTGTATCTCTTCGCACTGATCCCAGCATCCCTTAACGGATTTTCTACTCGAGTCAATTAAGGAAAAGCTTTTCCGTTTCCTTCGGATCTCATCGGCCCCGCGTCCTAATCTCCCGAGACAAGACCCTCCACTCACTCGTAGTCTGAAGATCCGAAATAAATTCCAACTGCACGGTAAACCCACGTCCCATTGAAGATTACGGATGCAAGCTATGGGATTATAAGGAGTGCGTGCCTCCCGTAAAAACAAACCCCTAATTTTTCGATCTAGATAAACGTCTTCGAACCACCTGGGTGTTCCTTACCAAGACAAAGGACCCAGCCTCGTTTCCTACGATTACGTAACAAATTTTTGAATATTTTTTTTCAATATTAACCTCTAAGAATCTCCATCCAAAAATTAATACGAAAAATCCACCTGCCACGTTTTTACAAAAATTTGTCACGAAACAACCCTACCGAACTTTCCAAAACACCATGTACATATACGTCGAACTGTCTCGATACAAAATTATCCCACAGTCAATGAAAAGTCCAATTTCAATTCGACCCTCTTTCGTAGGGCGAAAGAAAAAACAAATTTTTTTCACTCGTCAAACTGTATCAATGACCGAACCGAAGTGACCCGAACACTCACGAAGCGTTGCCGATTCGAAATCGAGCGCATAGAAACGCGCCCGAATGGGACAATGACTTGGTAAAAAGACAAAAGAATTAAATGCCGACATTAACGGGCGGAATGCATTTTTCATGGGACATTTTCAATTTGTCCTGCGCTACGCTGATATACCGGGTGGTTTAGGAGGTATTCCGTCGCCTTTTTTTTTTTTTTAATACCAGCCTTAATTCCAGTTCTCTCACGGATTAAGGTAGGTAGCGACTAGGCTGGGTATAGATATATATACAATATATATACGTATATATGCTTCGCTACGAAGGAAAAGCGAAATGGTGGTCAGGAGGAGGTGGCTAGGGGGGACAGGAACTCCCTTTAAAAATATATCAGGATTTTAGAAGGATTCCGAATAATAACCTTAAGAAATATCAAATGCTATAGTTACTGTACAATGGGTTGAATTTTTCGCACAATGTGAACCATTCATCCAATTTTCTATTTGTGCCTCATCGAGTCGAACGGAAGTGACGTATCTTCCTCTTTTTGTTTCTTTAACGTCTATTCTATCTCTCTCTCTCTCTCTCACTTTTCGGTCTCTAGTCGAGATACTATTCGAAACGTTCACCATATATCTCATCTCTGATACACGTCGAAAATCGAAATGTCTCGAGTGAGATTA